CCTCATAAGTACTTTGCCTTAGATGTCTAACTTTTCTTTATACTAAAGGTGACTCCTCCTACACCCATCTGTTATTTGTTGCTTTGACTGATCAATATATGCTGCTTTTATTGAAAACGATCCGCTATCTTCTTTCTGAGGAATAAAAAATGTTCAAGCACACTCTTATCTATTGATACTAGGAAAGGTATTTCTATAGTATCTATCACAATAAAAATAATGTGTTAAACATTCTTTTTGTATATAGCTTTTCCTCTCACTCTCTTCCAAACCAACTTGTTTTTCTTGAGCAGATGCCCTAATGGCATGACTTCCTCTTTCTACAATTTGTCATAATGAAATCACATTTCCTAAGAGATGTGGCTAGAAACATTTTCTGTTGATCATCCCTTCTAATACTGGGCTAGGTGGTAAACATTGGCAGGACTGGAATCAAAGTAAGAATCACTATGAAACAAAGCAGATGCCAGGATACTTATGGAAGCAACATGTTTTTGCAGAAGTACAAGAAAGTATACTCTGAAAACAGTCCATTCTCCCCTCTGTGCAGGAAAAACAATCAACCTACCATAACAAGGCCTAAGCATGGTCAGTGACCATGAAATATTATTAGCCTGAGGAAATGATTGGGAGTGTGGTGAGAAAAAGAACAAACTGGAAGGCTGGCTGGATCCCTGGTCATGAGCACTCTGATGAAGTGGAAATATATTGCTATTAGCATTCCTATTTGATTTTGAAAACCAAGCAAATAACTTATTCTTTATACTTATGAAACATTTGTAATAAACTGGAAAGGCTTCGTGTCTGAAGTTTTGAATGCAGAAATTCAATAAATACAAGCTGGAACATACCCAGAGGAAGGTAACCAAGATGGTAAAAGATCTGGAAACCATGCCTTATGAGCAGCAGCTTAAAATAGTTGAGTATGTTTAGCATGGAGAAGACACAGAAAGTGACATGATAGCCTTGTTGAAATATTTCAAAAGACATCTTACTGTAGATAGAGTAAGCTGGTTTTCTGCTTACACTATCTTACACTGCACTGCTTACACTGCAAGAAAATAGGGTCCACCTAAACTTCCAGGTGGTAAGAGCTATTCAACGTTGGAATATTCTATTTCAACATGTGATGGAAGCTCCTTCCCACAAGATTTTAAAAAAGAAATTGGGTAGCCATCAGTTACAAATGCTTTATGTATTCCATGTGGAAGGGGGTTAGACTGGATGGCCCTTGTGATATTTTCCAACTCTATGATTCCACGAATCTTCACCTGAACAACAAGATAGTGTGGTAAAAATCAATTTTAATATGTTTTTAAAATCACTAACCAATTCTCTTTCACATCAATATTAAAAAGTATCCCAAATATCAAGGGGGACCAAAAGCTAGATGTACTATCAAGCCATTTCTTCATTTGGCAGAAATCTTATCTACAACACTAAAACAGATACCAATGCTTTTATATTTAGAAAATAAATTATATAATGGTGTCTAATTTAAACACCTTCCTCATTACTGACACACCTCATACAATTCTCAGCACCAGGAAAGGTTGTTAATGAAGTAAAGGAATGTACAATTAACCAATTAAAACCATGTAGTCCACATTATGTGTTGCCACACCACTTAGGAATAAATTTAGGTCACACATTACATTTCTTTTACTTTTCTCTTTTTATTTAACACATATTTTCATGCCAGATCCAATTTAAATACTCTAGGAATGCAAAGGTAAAGGTTATCACTGCCATCTTAATAGTCAACTTTTTAATAAAACCAAAAAGCTCCAGCTCCCTCATGCTAGAATTATGAACTACAAATTCATGTTCCAAAATACACACATGGGCACTGGCGTCAGAAACAACTTTGGTGGACTCAAAATCAGTAGGAATGTTTCAACTCTGACTCCACCTTCAAAATAGTAATCAAATAAATTTTATTTTCTTTCAATCCAAGAAGCTTGATGATTCATGTAATGTTGATTAAATTCCTCATGCTACCAATTTAGAAGAGGGAATTAGATGTTTATAATTAATGTACATTTACCATTTAAGAAGAAGGGGTCACTAACTTCACAGCCCTGTATATAAGCCACATAGACATAAGGCTCTCTGGATACTCTGCTGCACAGAAAGAACATGCAGAGCAAACAGCAGCAGAGAGAGCAGGGACAAAATAGATCAGTCAAAATGCAGTCAGTTAAAGCAGCACACTTAGTAAAGTAAGATTTTCCCTCTCTGACATTACCATCTTGCCAAATTGTAGGAAATAAATCTGCCTCATTCAACTTGTACACCTTGAATATCATCTTAATTGTTGTATGAATAATGCTAGAATATTGTGCACTTGCCTTCAAGCCTAGACAGGCCCATCTTATGGTACCAATGCAGACATAACAGAATAACAAAATACTAACCTTAATTACAAATGTCCAAAGCCACAATCTGTATACTAATAACAGTGCTAATTAGTCAGCCAACTCTTCAAACTTTTACACACACATTTAAAAAAATGGACCAGTTCTCTAGACATTTCCTAAGCTTTATAGCAGCCTTCCCAACATTTCTTGTCATCAAATACCTGCTCTCAAGCTAAAAGCTGACACTACTGTGCTAAAGACTATATAAGCAGAAGGTAATTCTGATGGAAATTTACAGTATGCCAGCCTGATTACCTTTAATGCTACTACAGGAAACGATTCAAGCTGTAACTCTGTAAAGAGTTCCTTAGAACCTGGCATATTAGGTGTGAGAAAAGGTGGTCAGTCCCCTTCCCCAAAAATATGTCATGAAAAAACAAAGAAATTATCCTCCCTTTTAATACATTACTTTCTGAGGTGAATTCAGCAGTAATTCTTTCACTCTCCTCCAGTGAATTAGTGCTCCATTATGTGTAACTGTAGTGCAAGCCTGCCTTCCCTTTAACAGAACAGGGCCAGCAACTATGGTTGTTCTGCATAGAGGTTAAGTATTATTACTGGAACTATGTTGGGAAAGGTGGTTCGAGAATGTGTTATGCGTATACAATAGACTCCCAAGTAACAAGAATTCGAGCAACCCACAAAAGAGCGAAGAAATAATACTCTGAATGTATAATGCAGTAAAAAAATTAAACCGCTGAGCGGCTGAATTTGCTGACTGAAAGCTTGGTGGTTAGAATCCGGGGAGCAGGGATGAGCTCCCGCTGTTAGCCCCAGCTTCTGCCAACATAGCAGTTCAAAAATATGAAAATGTGAGTAGATCAAGTGGTACCACTTAGGTGGGAAGGTAACAGCGCCCCATGCAGTGATGCTGGCCACATGACCTTGAAGGCATCTATGGACAACTCTGGCTCTTCAGCTTAGAAATGGAGATGAGCACCACTGTCCAGAGTTGGACACAATTAGAATTACTGTCAAGGGGAAACCTTTACCTCTGCCTTAAAACATTAAAACTGTGTTACATTAAGCTTGCCTTTATTTGTCTTAATTAGCTTTTGTTATTAATAGAGTTTAGTATAGTATGAGGTACAGTATTCGTAGTTAGGCCTATTTTAATAGTAACTGTCAAATCATAAACCACATTTTTCCATTACCTACCAATCTCCATGTGTGCTGGTAAACAAAGAGCTTACTGTATAGCTTTTTTGTTGGTTCTATATGTGTGTGTGTGTGATCAAAAAGGGATTATTTTTGCTATGATTTTCATTATTTCCGAATTCCCACAACTAAGCCACCATGACAACACTATCTCAGGCTCCAGCCATCATATTCCCAACTACTGCATTGTTCATGGACATATATCTTTATGAATATATAAAAGAATATATAAACGTGTGTGCGCATACAGCTGTCAAAACTACAAATATAAAAATATTAAATACTAAAATCTCATTATTACTGTGATGATTTCCCTGGCCCTTCTGAATCCTTATATTGTGATTATTTCCGTTTCAAATTCTTCCATGTAGACAACACGGCCTCGGGGTCAAGCCACCATATTCTCCACATTAATACCTAACAAGGCGACTGTATGTCTATCTGTCTATCTATCTCTCCTCCTTCGGGGCAAACAATACAAGCCTTGGGCAGCTCTGTCCCCTTCCTGGGCCTCTCTCCCAAGGTGCCCTCCTCCCTCCAGGCTCCCCTTTCCTCTCACAGCCAGAGCCCGGCCCGTCGCCGAAGACAAGGCGGCTTCCCTTTTCAGTGCAAGGCGCCATTTTAGGAGGCAGAGGAGGGCTGAGGAGTGGTGGCGAGGGGGGAGCCGGGCGGCAGGGGGCGCTGTGCTGCCGGGAGCCTGAAGGGAGGCCTTTGGGAACCTGAAGAGAGGCCCCGCGCACCCCTCCTTCCTTCCTTCCCTCCCTCCTTCCCTCCCAGTAGGGCCCAATGCTGCTGCTGCTGCTGCTGCCCACCTTCTCGCAGAGGCTCTTCACTTGCCCCTCGGAGAGCTGCTTGCACTCGTTCAGCTGCTCCACCCACTGGTCCAGCTCCTTCGTGAAGACCTTCTCCTCCATTCTGCTGCCGCTCTTCCCTTCTTCCTCCTCCTTCCTCCCTCCCTTCCGCCTTCTCGCCGGCACCCTCCGGCCCGGCCCAACCCCGTCCCCCCCTCTCCGCCTCCTCCTCCTCCTCCTCCTCTTCTTCCTCCTGCGAAGAGCCGCCGGCCAAAGCGAGCCGAAGGAAAAGGCAAGCGGCCGAATCCGGAGCCCGTCCTCCCGTCACCACGGCAGCGCCTCCCCGTCCTCTCGCGCTCCCTCGCTCCGTGTAATGGCTGCCGCGCCTTGACGTCACCCGCTGAGCTTCCAGCCTCCTCCTCAGCACCGCCGAGCAAGGCTCGCGCCTGCGCAGCCTCGCCCACCCCTGGGGAGGGTGTGCGCATGCGTACGGAGCCCCACCCTCCGCCGTCATCGTGAGAAAGCCGGCCTCCGTTCCAATATGCGCATGCGCGCCAACCTCGGATAACGCTCCGCCGCCGTCTTGGCCGGGTCAGAGTCCACTGTGCGCATGTGCGTCAATCTCGGGTCTCATTCTGTCCCTATACTCTGTTCTCTGCCCTTCTTCCAATCGCCCGGCCCTATCCTGCGCCGGCCCTATACATCTCAGTGTTCTGGTTATTGGTTTTCGTTGGGTATTGCATGACTGGATTTTAATGTTGCTGTTTTATACCCTTGTTTTATTTAATTGTATTTTATTATTTGATTGCTATGCTTTGCTATGCTTTATTTTAAGCGTGTTTTTTTGTTTTAATGCAGGGGTCCTCAAACTATGGCCCGGGGGCTGGATACGGCCCTCCAAGGTCATTGACCCGGCCCTTGCTCAGGGTCAACCTAAGTCTGAAACAACTTGAAAGCACAAAACAACAATCCTAACTCATCAGCCAAAAAGTAGGCCCACACTTCCCAATGAAATACTAATAAGTTTATATTAGTTAAAATTGTTCTTCATTTTAATTATTGTATTGTTCTAAAGTATTTTTGCACTACAAATATGATACGTGTAGTGTGCATAGGAATTCATTCTTTTTTTTTTTTCCAAATTATAATCCGGCCCTCCAACAGTTTGAGGGACTACGACCTGGCCCTCTGTTTAAAAAGTTTGTGGATCCCTGTTTTAATGGATTGTTTTGGTGTTCTGTGTAAGCCACCCCAAGTCCATTCGGGGAGATGGAGACATTCCACAGATATATAAACGCCACTTGCCTAGTTTCCAACACACCTCACAAGCCATAGATGCGGGCGAAACGTCAGGAGAGAATGCTTCTGGAACATGGCCATATAGTCCGGAAAACTCAGCAACCCAGGGATTCAGGCCATGAAAGCCTTCGACAATACAAAAATAAAGTTGTCATTGAGCCAGTATTTTGCATTTTTTGGGAGAAATGGAGGGCGTTCTCCAAAATGTTTGTTGTTGAGTGCTTTCAGATTGATGACTATCCTAAGGCGAGCCTATCATAGGTTCCTTCTTGGCAATATTTAGTCAGAAAGGTTTGCTGATGCCGTTCCCATGAGGCTGAGAGAGTGTGGCTTGCCCCAAAAGACAGCCAGTAGAATCATAGAGTTGGAAGAGACCACCTGGGCCATCCAGTCCAATCCCCTGCCAAGAAGCAGGAAATTTGCATGCAAAGCACCCCCAACAGATGGCCATCCAGCCTCTGTTTAAAAGCTTCCAAAGAAGGAGCCTCCACCACACTCCAGGGCAGAGAGTTCCACTGCTGAACGGCTCTCACAGTCAGGAAGTTCTTCCTAATGTTCAGATGGAATCTCCTTTCTTGTAGTTTGAAGCCATTGTTCTGTATCCTAGTCTCCAGGGCAGCAGAAAGCAAGCCTGCTTCCTCCTCCCTGTGACTTCCTCTCACATATTTATACATGGCTATCATGTATATAGGTCCCCACAGCCAAATGGAGATTTGAAAATCAGTCCCCAGCGCTCAAACTGCTGCACCATCTTTGTTGGTCCTCCCAAAGAAGTTTAGTTGTATTGGAAAGAAATAAATCACTGAATTAGGAACAAGAAATCCTAAATACTTCTACCTCACAAATCTTCAAATCCCATGATTCCACTATTAATACAGCAATATTAATGCCACAGTTTTTTAAACATAGGTACACTGTTGTGGAAGTCTAAATTGTGACTCTGGAAATAGATCTTCCAGGCATTGCACAAGATTAAAGGTAATGTTCAGGTAGTTAATGATAGCACTCCCAAGTAGTCTGAGACTGTGCTAGTTGTCCAAAGTAAAGTGAAGAGGGCCATCCATTGTAGAAAGGCACCATATAAGTTTTCAGTTTGGCTTGGGTGTCTATGGTAAATCCAAACAGTGATGTCAGTTTTGTTTCCCTCTCTTCTATAGTTTTAAACCCAAATGCTGCCTTCCATTTTTAAAGTCATGTATCTTCTAGATGTGTACACATCATTGATACATAATGCAATTTTGTATACTTTGTTTGCTTTGTTTGAAATCAGTCATACCCACCTATTACAACATTTCAGTTGTGAAACTCATCCCACCAGCCTTCAGCAATATGTATTCAAACATATTTGTCTTCTTCTGTTAGGAGTTCAAGTTCATCAGTTCAATGAATGGGTAAATGCAAACTTTTTGGGATATTGTATTATTTATTTATTATTTATTTACCGTATTTATATACCGCCTTTCTCAGCCCAGAGGCGACTCAAGGCGGTTTACAGTCGGCATAATTCGATGCCCCCAACAACATAAAATACAATTAAAACACTAGCATATAAAATATAAATAAATAAATAATATTGTATTACATAAGTACCAAAACTAAGATAAAATTTAATTCCCTTAGAAATTCCAATCAATACACCTATTTCTTTATTGAGTTTGATATATAAGTTGAAGCCTTGGTACTGACCAATCAAAGAAATGCTAATTGCTTTAGGTAAGTATGTTGGACAACCCATGCCATCTTCAGGCAACCAATTGCTATAAAGAGTTAGAACACTATGTTTGTTTGTTTTTAAGTATTTTTATTAAATACATAACACAATCTGAACAGGTAATAGACAGCTATGCATATACACATTACAATGGAGCATTGTAACACTATGTATCACGATTTTATTACAAATGCAATTTCCTAATTGGTTCTGTCATTAAAAGATGTGGAAAAAGTTTATTAAACTACAAAAACTTTGTTTTTGTGGGATATACAGCAGCACATTTTGCTATAGTTTTTCAATGAATATCTCAGAGTCTCAACCAATTCAACACAGTTTGTGGGATCCACAAAAATGAAGTTTCTGGAGTATAGAAACTACTTTCAAAGTAAGTACTGTACAATTAAACAGGAAATAATGCTCTCAAGCCAGAAACAGATTTTTTTTTCTAATTTTGTTACATAGTGTAATCCCATATCTGGAGGGGCAGATTAAGAAAGGTTAATTCATAGTATTAATTCCTGAGCTACCTTTCAAACTATAGTCCCATCAAACCAACCAATAAGATGTGACTCTATAGCAAGTTGATAAAATCATGAATTAATTAAAAAACGTATCTTTAAAGGCATCAGGAATTATTTCGATAACAAGGTGAGAAAGCAAATTGTTCTTCGATATATGCATACAGACCTTGAACAGAGGTTCATCTTGGATCCTGAGACAAGTTAATTTTAAAGACTTAATGATTCCCTTCTGATAGCAACATCATATAGTATTTACAGTGGATTATGCAGAAAATGTATTTCACAAACTAATAGACGACCAGCCTGTTGAGCAAGCCTTGCAAGTGTTGACTTATTGTAAATGTTTGATTTTATTCCAGTTTTATATATCTAGAGTCACTTAAAAATTTCTCAAAGTGAAAAGAGATCACAAGTGGGAAAAGGTTTAAGAAGTCCTGCTCTAGACAGTCTGGTGTTGGAGCAGGAAATAGATTTATTCTCAGAAAAGAAGAAAGGGGGACTATTATTTTAGCTAACACTCTTTGGTTTATTTATTTTGGATAAGCTACTGTAATTATCTTCACTGGCACTGCTAACTTCCCTCTGTTGTTGCCCGGTGTACATTTGTTATTGTTGCTGTGTTCCTAATTTATCGTGACCCTAAGGCAAACCTAACACAGAGCTTTCTGTGGCTGAGAATGGGTGACTTGCCCAAGGTCACCCAATGGGCTTTCATGGCCAAACACGGATTCAAAACTCTGGTCTCCAAGACTCATTGCCAGCAATCAAATGTGGGTGCCACCCTTAACAATTCCTCTCCTCCAAATCCATATTTGAAAGTGCACTTCACATATTTAAATGACAAGAGTTTGTTTGTATGTTTGAGATTGCTTCATATTGCATTTATATGTGTGTATGTATGTTGTAGTGTTGGAGAATTCGAAGAGATACAAATGGAGGGTGAAAGGGAGAAATGTTGCACTGGTGTCCTCACTGTGGGAGAACATGCGGATCAAGAACAGCCACAGCCACAGCCACCTATGGACCCACCGCCAAGACACCAGACTTGGAGGACCATCATCCTCAGGCTACAAGGGATCTCCTAAGCAAAGTATGTGTGTTGCCCTTTTGTCATTTTATATTACAACAATAATTCATGCTTCGAAAAAGATAACAAAAATTCTGGAGGAAAGCTTCCATTTACTTTGGAAATGTGTGAGAAGTCAAATTTTATAATCACATAGACGTGTTCTAGGGAATATTATGCATGATATCATAATAAAAGTGAACAACATCCAATCATAAAAGTGAACAACAAGCAAGCAGAACCAGTTTTCTGCTTTCTGGAGAAGTTTACGTTCATATGACAAGACAGTCTGGATCACTGCCAGGGTGCAGCAAGCTTTTTCCCCCTAACTGTTCTATGCAATCAGGTTTCCACATTTGTGAAAAGAAAAAGAAAAAACCTCTTTGCCTAATTGATAAGAACTTGTCAACGAATTTAGTAAATTGCAGATTGCAAAATTAACAGGGAGAAAACTTAACTGCCTAGGTTTGGACATGAGATTAACAGAAATGTTCTTAATACATTCTTGAAATAGAAGGAATACAGCAAATACTCAGCCTAGTCCTGCAGACAAATTCTAGACAGTTTAAATGGATGTGCTACCTAGACTGGAACTCTGATTTATATTCTCTCCCATTATTTTTTAAAGTGCTGATTAAATATTTAGGAAATTTATGTGAACACTTTTGGGCAGATCATACATCAAATTCTGATATTCCAGCTATCACATCATGGAAAGTAGATTGTGGTTAGCTATTGTTTAATTATAAAAGTAATTTAAGCAGCTAAACACATGAGAGGAGATCATTAGAATTTTCTAATCAAATGTTCCCCAATTATATTTCTCTAGAATGACCACCAAGAGGTGACTGACTCTGGGCCTTACTTTTAAAAAAACAAAAACCCAGTATTTTATCCCCTGAGCCTGAAGCATCATGAAATGTATGTCAGCAGTAAAAATATGTTATGGTGGTTCAAAAAAAGTAGATCTTTGCCACAGCTTTGCTCAAAATGGCACGCTGCTGTATCAAACCTGGAAGGAAATGTTTTATGGGATGGGAATTTTGTTTTTTTGTAGTGCTTACAAACCTTTCAAACGGCTACTAATAACCAAAATCTCCTGGTACACTTCCAAGAAATCCAACCAAAAATAAAATAAGATACACCCCCTTGGGGTTAGGGGAAGATAATCAGGCAAGAGATAATCTTTCTTAGTAATCTTGACCGCATTCACGGTAAAATGTGATTTGTGGTAGTTTTAGATTCCTACATGCCAGGTACTAGATAATATTGCATTTCAGGATAGTTAAAAGGGGAAAAAAGGGATAGCTCTCTTCTGATGTGCCAATGCAACATACCATGTAATTATAATCTAGGAATGAATCTGGCAGCTGCCCGCCTTTATGGAAATCAAAGAATGTCATGCCCTTGACATCACTTGATTGCAATCTTATAATGCCTCTTTCCCTTTTCCTTACAAGTGACAGGCGGTGGTTTAAAGTTAATCACAGCTAGTTCAAAATAATTAAGATTCCTATATTGAATCATGAAAATACTTTCTCTCTTACACATGCATAAAGGGAGGGAAGGAGAGTGAATCATTGCTGAAGAAGTGGGTTAGACAGAATGGATAAATATATGCAGAGTTTAATAGGCTCTTGTTAAACTCTTCAGGGAAAAAGTTTGGATTATATATGATAGTCTAGTTGTGGAAGTTAAGTATATATTCACTGTACACTCTATCTGAAATTGGAGGCAAATGCTAAAATTGCACAAATTAGCCAAAACAACATTTTAAAACAATATGTTTGGAAATAGTTCCTGGTGAAATGTAAAACAGGAAAACAGCAGATAATTTCAAGATTTAGAAGGCAAGATTGCCATAAACTGCATGTTTTAATCCCATCATTTTAAATATGGCATAGGTAATCACAATGAGATCTCCAAAATCACAGAACCCATACTTGCAGCAGATGAAAGAAAGAATCCAGACTCTGAAAACAAGTGAGATTTTCTCTACTGTGAAACTTTTCTCAATTGCTATTTTGGCTTCATCTACACTGACATTATAATGCGTAACCAAAAAATGCATACTGCCAGTATGTGCTGCAGAGGACATTTAGGAGTATACAGCTCATTAAAAAGTCACAGGAAAGTCCAAGTTCAGCCAAATAATGTGTGGCATGAGATGCCAGTATTTCCTGGATGTAGGACAAAATTGGCTCTTCAAAATGTGGAGAGCATTGTAGACTCCTTCCCCTGCTGAAGGGCATTATAGACCCTATAATAGGGGCTCAGAAAAGTGCCCCTATAGCATGGAGTAATGGAAAGTATGTAAGGAGTATCCGTATCATACAATTGTAGCAGTTTGATACCACTTTAACTTGGTGGCATCCTACAGAACCCTTGGAACTGTTTTCATAATCCAGTACCACATGCTGGCTTTCACTTTTGGAAATTCGCTGTGTTTTAATTGTGTTACCCTATTTTTCCATTACACAGCATTTGAACTGAACATTGTATATAAGCTAGCATATCACTAGTGCTTAACTAGAAAAAAGATTCTAGGATTCACATCTTGAAATCACTTCTGATCTGGAATTTTTTTCTCAAAATCCAAGGGCAGGGAATTGGCTCTCCAGAGATGACTCGACTGCAATGCCCATAACATCCCAGTTAAAGCAGTAACAGGTGAGGGATGATGTTGATTGCAGTCCAGTCACATTTGAAAAGTCTTAGTGACCTACCCGTGTCTCTGATCCCTGAAATGAGATGAAAGAAATGCACTCTGGACATGCTTGGAGAGTCATATTTATTTGTTTTTAATCCTGCCATTCCAGGAATAAGTTCTGATACTAAAAACAGATGCCAGGATTGAGTCTTGGCAAGGCCTGGTACATACATAAGCCTCCGCTGCTTCCATTTTGAGTGCATTGTTAAAATGCCAGTGCTTTGCTAATCTGTCAAAAGTCGCTTGGCTCCTATAATTCTCTGACTGATAAACTGCATGACCTCAGGCAGACTTTTGTTCCCTGATCATTCATTTGCAGAAGCTTTTTGAACATTGAACAGATCATGGGGATAAACATGCAGTTGCCATGGAGCTAATATGATGCTAGGTGTTGCAATTGAATCATATGTATTTGGCATACCTCACACGGCTTGATCAATCATTAAAATCCTACGTCGGGTATCTTTCTCTTCCCTCTCCCCTCTCCAAATACTGCAAAGGAAATCTGACTTGGCATTCTCTACCCACACAGAAAAGACTGACAGCTTGTTCTGGCTGTTAGAAATATAAGTACCTGAGACAGAAGTTGAGACTTGCTGCCAATTTCTTAAAAGAAGGCACTTGGGAGCTTGCCCTGATTAGAGCATAAAATAATTTATTCATAGCTTTAATTTTTAAATAAAAAATTAAGTATTTGTCATGGTCATAATGCTACACTATTACCAAAATCAGCTATCTGTCAAAAGGGGACAGTGTAGGTCTGTTGCTTGGCATGCCATCCTACCTTGAAAGCCAGGAAAACTAGGACTGAGTTTGAAGGCAGTAACAGAAGTTTTATTCATCTGGCCAGATGGATGTCAGAACAGCGTTATCGCGTCAAAGAACCAACATAACATATAATACAGTGCAAAGCATTTTATCCCCTCTGGCAATCATTCAGAAAATTGCTCCCTCCCCTGATTGTCTCAGGAATTGTCAAGCTAGGATCTGAGCTGTCATTGGCTGGTGACTCCCTGTGATGTCAGACGTGGTTGGAGTCTCCCTTGTGGTGGGAAAAATGGAGAACATCTACCTCAGCTTATTTTGGAGGCTCATAAGGTGCGGCAGGGGTGGGGGAATTATGCAGTTGGTTTTTAAAGTTGCTTTCACACAGAAATAACAGGATAGGAGAAACATTATTTGGATATCAGGTAGGATATGTATGTGACCATGATACCTAAAACTACGACTCTCACAAAACTCTGTGGGTTTTGGCCAGTTTGGAGGAGCCAGGACTGTATCAGAAATAGTCTGGAATTGGAAATGCCCTTAGAGTGTTACTGTTCAAGGGAATCACATTCATTTGCACTCACTACCCATGACTAAATGCTCCAAGGATAACATTAAACGTTGCCTTTCAACCCATTTGATTGGCAAGAGAAGGAATAGGCTTTCCTAATATCATAATTACACCATGTAATGCAGGAGTGGGTAGCGTCCTTCTCATTTACAGGTTAAGGGCTTCCGTCTTGGGGGTAGATGGGCAGGGGTAATCTATTAAGAGCCCAACACTGGAAGTGGACAAGAATGGAGTGGCAAGGTCTATGACAATTAAACTGAGGGTTATGTGAGTGCGCTGGGAGCACATGGAATCTGGATCCAGATGAATCCATCCATAGTCTCAGGCTGGATCCATACTGCCAATATAATGCACTCACACTCATTACCACTCATTACACTCATTACCAGCCCACAGCATGTATACTTCTGAACATTTGTCATTTGAGCACATGTAACATTACACTAGCATAACACCACATTTCTTATCTTTACTTACACATAGAAGAACATCTCCAAGTTGTTGAATCATATTTTAATTTAGGAAAAAGAACAGTTCCCGTTCACTCTTGTTCCTCTTTGTTCTCTAGCCAGTGTAATGCCAAACATCATTGTCTATGCCTCTCTGTTATAAATAGGTGGGAGTGCAATTAAGGTAATTATTGTGGGTCTGCATATAGTTTGCCTCCTCATGTGACAATATATTCTAACTCGCAGATCTAGTAAAAGGGAGAAGTGGAATATTGTGCTGTAACAACCACAAATTATGCATGACACATCACTGTTTGGTTACCATAGGATAGATGGTGGGTATATCTTTTCTCTTTTGGTAGCAACAGTTTCCAAGTAAGTTTAATGAAGCATGTTGCCTGAAGCCAGCACTGGATTCACAGGGATAATCCAGTGTTATGAGCTGGGATCACCCTGTGTGAACAGTCCAATAAAATCAGGCAAGCAGAAACTCTTCACCCGCTTATATAATGCTTTACTGTATAAT